AATATAACAAGTATAAATTTAAAAATGAATTACTTTTTATTAAGGAAATGGACTACGACTATCACCCGATGACGTTTTCTCTGAAAAAATATTTTTTGAAATTGTTTTTTTTATAAAAGTTACTTATTGTCTAAACAAATAAAATTCAAAATTTTAAAGAGAGTTGGATTGGGTGTAATGTATTTTCCTCAAGCACACATGAGATTAATGTGATTCATTGATTAGTATTTTTAATATAAAATAAAGTCTTAATTACAAGCAATCGGGGCAGTAGTTAGCATTTGGTACATGTGAAAGAGTTGTTGCCAGTTGGCAAAAAAAAAAACAACAAAGGTTCCGTTTGGCAAGAGTTAAATGGGACTTTTTTTGTTATTTTAGCCACAAAAGATAAAATAGGCTATTTTAGTCACAAAAAACAAAATATCACATCAAACCCATAATCATTACATTCTTCTCTCACAAAAAAAGTCAAAAAAGTCAAAAAGCCCTTCCCAAACCAAACTTTTTAGCCCAGGCTAAAATAGCCAAAAAAGCCAAAAAGCCAAAAAGCCAATCCACTTCCCAAACGGAGGCAAAGTAAACATTTGACTTTTTCGCAATTGGGGTTTTTTTGGCTTAAAAAAAAAGATAAAATAAATTAAAAAGTCAATAAAATAAAATGTCACATTTAAATTATAATTATTATTATTTTTTTTTACAAAAGTTAAAAAAATCAATCCAAACAAATTTTTTAACTTAGGTTAAAATAACAAAATAGTCAAAAATCCAACCTGACTTCCCAAACGAAACCAAATAAGTTGGGTTTGTTTGAGAAGTTAGCTATTTTGGTTGACTTTTAACTATTTTAGTCTAACTAAAAAAGTTATGCTTATGAAGATAGTTGACTTTTTTTTGTAGTTAATTTGATGGTTGTGAGAGAAAAATTAAATAATTATGATTTAAATATGACATTTTGTCTTATTAATTATTTTAGCTTAGGGTAAATTACACTGACAGTCCCTATAGTTTGGGACTTGTGTCACTTTGGTCCCTGACTTTTCAATTGTAATACATTTGACCCTGAATTTTGAATTTTGTTCCAAATAAGGATAATTGAGGATATCATTGCTTAATTTCAATGGTAAAATCGTCAATTTGACAAAATATAAACTAATTTGACAAAAATAAATGTCGAAAAATATTTTTGAAGTTTTAAAAATTATTTCTACCCATTAAAGTTAAAATTATGTAAAATTGATAAATCTTTTAAATATTTATTTATTTATTTATTGTTACCAAATTAATTTTTATGATTTGTTTGGATGATAATCATGTAATAAGTGGTTATTTTTATTTTCATTAAATTAATTTTTATTTTTTCAAAAGACAAATGTGGCGATAATTTTGATATCATTATTAAACCAATCTATTAAATTAAAAAATCTAAAACTAAAAACATTTTATATATTAAATATATCGATCACACATTAAAATCTTAACAATCATTTATTACATGATCATCATCTAAATTCATAATAAAAATTAATTTAGTAAAACAAATAAATAAATGTCTAAAAGATTTATCAATTTTACATAATTTTATCTTTGGTGTTTTGAAATAATTTTTAAAAATTTAAAAATATTTTTTTGACATTTATTTATCTCAAATTAGTTTATATTTTATTAAATTGACGATTTTGCCCTTAAAATTAAGCATTAGTATCTTCAATTATCCTTATTTAAAATAATATTCAAAATGCAGGGTCAAATGCGTTACAACTGAAAAGTCAAGGACCAAAATGACACGGGTCTCAAAAAAAAATTATTTTGTTAAGGGCTATTTGTGTAATTTGCCCTTTAACTTATTTTATCTTTATTGATTATTTTAGACAAAAAAAAAACTATCAACCTAACTTGCCAAACGGAGCCCATATTTAAACACAAATGGTTGATACACATGATGTATATATAATTCAAATAATTAAGAGTAGAAAAAAATAATAATATTATAATATGTATTTAATTTAAGTGGTATAAGTCCTCCACCTTAAACTCATAGTCATATCATAGGTTTAAGCTTTACTTACCTCTTTGTGTAATTTTTTTTTATGAGATTTTTTTTTTAAAAAAAAAGAAAAAGAAAAAGAAAAAGCTTAGGACTTGACTGTTTTAACAAATTAAATCTTGAGTTTTTAATTTTATCAATTTAAATTCTAAATTTTTAATCATATTTCAATTTAAATAATTTGCCTATTTTTGTTAAGTTAAATTATCGAAAAAATTGAAATTTTAATCATTAAATTCAATAAAAAATGATATTTTAGATATTTTATGTTATATTTAGTTTAATAACTAAAAAACTCTTTTCTGTAGATTTTATTTAATAAAAAAAGATAAATAAAAAATAAATTTAAATATTAAAATTTAAATTAATAAAATTAAAAATTTATTTTATTAAAAAATTCAAACCCCACGTTTTTTTTATTTTGTAATTGAAAAACAAAAAATATTTTGTTTGGTTTCATTTTTCTGAAAACAGTTTTCAGAAAATTCTACTTTCTTATTTTTTGTATTTTTTTGTTTTTAATGAATTTTTTTAATATTTTAAACAATTTTTTTAATTTTTAGATATACCTAACATAAATATACTCAAAAAGTAAAAAATTTGTGAAAAAAATCTTTTAAAAATTCACTAAATACCAAAAATACAAAAAAAATACGAGAATTCAGTACATTTTTTATATTTTTATGTGTTTATTAATTTTTTAAAATATTTTTTCACAAATTTTTTACTTTTTAGATACATCTAAGTAAGATGCATCTAAAAAACTAAAAAAAATATTTAAAATTTTTAAAATATTCACTAAAAACAAAAAAGCACGAAAAACAAAAAATTAAGTTTTCAAAAAATTTAATCTAGAAAACTCAAACCAAACACACTGATTGCCACTAGATAGATATATCTGAATGAGTCTGGCTCCTTTCAGTCCCGAATCAGATTAGAAGGTATTGTTGGGCTCATAGGGCCTATCACGAGTCCCATTTCGATAATTTGAAATGTTGAGTAAGTAGAATTCATCGAGTACTATATACTTGTAAAAAATTATATTGATCGAATATCGACAATTACGTGATCAAATTAAATTTATATAAAAAAATAAATGGTGAAAAACAAACGATTGACAGAAATCTGATCTGATGAAATAGTTATGAATATTTGATCAACGTGATTTTTTACAAACGTATAGCACTCAAATATTTTTATACATTAAACAGTTTAAATTATCAAAATAAAATTTATAATAAACCCTTATAAATCTAACAATACCTTTCAATCCGATCTGAAACTGAAAAAAGCCCGACCTAATATGTTATTGTAATGATTAAAATAAGCCCCCAACATGGCTGAGTGCAGAAGAAGTGGAAAGTTGTTTATCAATACATTATTGTCACCGGCAAACCAATAAACACTTCCCCAAAGTACAGAAGTCTCCATCGCTCCGGATAAACCCCCACCATAACCGACCTCTTCAACTGCACACACATACACAGGCGGTTTTCATCGTGATTCATTCCATCACAAAGGCCGTGTTTGTGTTTGGCTATTTAGAGACAGAGATCCGACTAATAGTCTGTAAGACCAAGTTATAAAATGTTTAGTTGAGATCATGAGTAGATGAGTAGGAAGATTAACTATTCCTTGATTATTAATCCTTCTATTAGCAAGGCTATCCTGTCAATTCCATAGCGAGCATGGTTATCAGAATCTCGATTTGGATCTTACGATCCTACGATTTTACGATTTATTTTAGTACAATCGATCCGGATCATGTAAAAAACTCTTTATAGGTAGGATCTTTCGATCCTAGTAGTGGGATCTTATAGGATCGTGAAATCCCGATCCGAATCCGATCCTATCCGATCCAATTTATAAGTCTTGTTTTGTATTGTATGACATATTTTGTTGTAAATTTTATATTTGTTGTCTAAATACCAATTTATGTCATCAAAATAAATAATAAAAATTAGGGTGTTGTTATGGTGTGCAACCCCTTAAGTTTGCACACCATATGCAACCAACACAAAAAGTGTAAATGGAAGGTGTAAATATAAAACAGGACAGCAAACAGAAAGGCGTAAGTGTAAGGTGTAAGTTGCACACTTAAGAAAAGTCTTAAAAATTAAATAGTATTGAATCAAATAGACTAAGAAAAACAAACTAGGAAACAAACATTCAAATATTGCGATAATTTAAGAAAATTAAATAGTCGGAAAAACAAACTTAGCTTTAGCGGAGTCTAAGAAGGGTAAGATGATTGCAACTTTATCCCAATTTCTGGAGAAATTATTTTTGTGACTCGAATCCGCTCCACCAGGGATGCTAACGACAAACCTTATCATTCGACTAAGCTACTCTTTTGAATTCTTAATTTATTTTTATTTTCAATTTTGTTAAATATTTTTTCTTTACTTTTTATGCATTATTGTACATTATAAAATATTTTGTTATAGAATTCTTTTTCTGCACCTTCTTTTTCGATAAAATACAAAACTTTTACTATCGGATTTTCTATTGCATAATATTAGATGTACACTTTACATGGAGTATTATATTTTTCACAATATATTCACTTCTTTTTAATAGAATGTAGGTTCATTTTGTGTATACTTTATAAGAAATATTTATTTAAATTAAATTATTATGTAATTTGTCTTTTTGGTAGGATTTTACGATTCTCGATCCGATTCTACGATCCGATCTTATAAACACCTCCAACGATCTAACGTAGGATCCCGATTTTAACAACCTTGATAGTGAGATTGAGATTAGAAATTAAGTGAGAGGACCACTGAATTTTTAAACAACTTTTATACAAAATTTATATTTAAAAAAAAATTTATAATATTAAAAAAATACTAAAAATTAAAATATATTAATATTATCTCTAATCAAGAATGGGTTATCGCTAACTTGCGCAGTATAGTCAAGTGAACGACGCTACTCTCTCTCTCTCTCTCTCTCTCTCTCTGCTATATATATTTGTCAAAATCAGGAACAAAAAATTCCACCAAGGAACCAGAAAAAGCGGGAAGGGAACCTACAGTTTTCCAAACCCACAAAAAAAGGCAACTGCTCCCCTACTCTACTTCTTCTTCTACTACTACTAGTATTTATATTTCCATCTTGAACCAAAAAAAAAAAAAAAAAAATAAATTGATACCCAAAAAGTAAAAAACAATGGCCAAAGAGCAACAAGAGGAAGGCCCTGTAATCATCAACGCTTTCCAGGTACTCTTTCTCATCTCTCCCCTTTGTCTCTCTACTATTCTATTGATATGCACATCTGGGTTTTAACTGTTTGTAATTTTTTACACGTTGAATCTCTAAATGCAGAGAGAAGAGGAAGACAAGGACTTTGATCTTGGACCCGACGAACCTGAACTCCCATTGCCCCTCGCCGTCACTTCAAAGGTAACTTCTTCACAGAGACAGAGACAGAGAAATTCATTTTTTTGGGAGTAATTTCAATCCAGTGTAAATTTTTTCAAAAAAATTACAGATAAATGGTACACTTATGTTTGGGAATTTAGGAGAGAGAAAAAAAAGAAATGATTACTTAATTTATAAGAGAAAAAGAAGAGAAATGAAATGAAATAGATTGTTATTTCTCTCTTTTTTTTGTTTGGATAAATAAGAAATAAATTTTTCGCCTTCTTGTTTGGTTAGTTTTTATAAAATAAAAATAAAAAGAATGTTTTATATTATATTTCCAAAATAAACTTTTTATATTTTGTCAATCATTTTATTTCTTTATTTTTAGAGGGACAAAATTGGTATTTTAAAAATATAAGAATTTGTTAATTTCTTTACTCTTCCAATCCCTCCACTTTTGGGAATATTGAAACGAGGGTTATAAAAAAAATGAGTTTATCTCATTTTCTCTCCATATCTCTCCACTTAAAGTTATCCAAACAAGTAAGAAAAATACATATCTCTTAATTTCTTTTTTCTTTTTCTCTCCAAATCACTCAATCCAAACATAATATTAATAATTAAAATCGTGAACTTTTCCATGATTCTGTAATAATTTTCTGATAGTGTCACTTACTAGTAATTTTTTTTTTTTAAATGTATGTATAATGAACATGAATATGGTGGTGGTGGTGGTGGTGGTGGTGGTGGAATGCAGGTGTTGTATATGTTGGGGGACATTGCAGCAGGTCCCGCGTATAGGTTCACAAAATGGTTGGAAGTGGTTCGTAGACGCAGTGGGAGATACCGCTCCTCTGGCTTCCCCCACCGTGCTCAGCACGGACTCGATTCTATGCCCTCCTTGACCTCAAGGTTATTTTCCTTTATTCAGATTGTTGTTTTTCATTCAGTTTTAAATTCAGTAGCTGGGTTTTTAATTAGTTGGATTAATGCAAATCAACAAGTTTGTGCTAAATTAAGGAATGGTTGAGCACTAATACAAATAGAAATTTTATACTGAATTTATGTGTAGGATGTTACCTTTCATTTTAAAATAAAATACCCATTTATAGCTTTTGTTTACAAAAATAATATCAGTACATCATTCTTGATTTTTATAAAAATTCATGTGGTTTGGCCTATGTGCACATAATCTCTTATGATTTGGAAATAAGTGCATAACTATTATGTTGTTTGTGAACTAAAGTGCATTGTTAGACCAATTAATGACTTAAAGTGAAAAAATTAAAATACCCTTGTATATAAGTTATGAAGCACCGACATTTTAAAATAGGTGTCATAGGGGTGTCAGACATGGGACATGGCAGGGACACATATGGAACACGTCAAGTGGTGTGCCCCTTCATTTAATTAATTTTTTTTGGGGTAAATTACGCCAACCACGTTGAGGTTTGGAGAAAATACAACAAGCTCTACAGTTTTGACATAATTATAGTAACATACCTTTTAATAAGATTAAAAAGATCAAAATTAATGTAGATGGTATAAAGACACAAAGATACATAAGGTAAAATATACATTTCAATGTAAAAGAATTGATAATATCATTTTTTCATTCATATGACTAATAAATTTATTATGAAAAGGGTGTCAGGTGTTAAATGAATTAAAACCTTAGGAAAGCCAGTGTTTTAAAAAGCTCTAGGCGCATAAAGGCTGCAAGGGCACCTGGAGCCTAAACGCCGAGGAGCGAGGTGAGGCACGCGCCTCACCAAAGCGAGACGCAAGTTATGGAGTTAAGCAAAATATTAATATAGCACAATTTTCAATGTAAGCAAATATTTAATATGTATATTATTAATTTTTTTAATAAGAAGAGAAGAGGAGAAGAAAAAAATAATAATTAATTTTTTTAATATATATTATTTTATTTATTCATTATATTTTTTAAATAATGTGTTTCAATTAAATTTTCATTTATTTTACATACATGTGTTTATTTTTTTTATTACTATGTATAAGTATATATTATATTTTATATATTATCTATAAGTATATTATATATTATAAAATAGGTATTATATAATATTATATATATATATGTATGAATCAAGAAGATAAAGAGAGACAGAAGTGAGAGAGAGAGAGAGAGAGAGAGAAGAAAAGAAACAGAGAGAAGCAGAGACGAACCTGAAGAAGACGAGTTCACTTGATGTCGAAGCTCAGATCAGTCGATGGCTAGTACATAAACACAAAACTGTTCAGTCGATGGCGAAGCGCACAAGGCGTGCGCCTTGAGCCTAATCGAAAGGCGCGCGCCTCAGCGCCTTACCTGTGCTTCTCGCAACTCGCCTCGCCTCGCCTCGCCTCACCTACTTTGAGCGCGGCCCTTGCGCCAAGGCGCGCTTTTTAAAACACTGAGGGGAACTCATTGTAATTTTGCCAAACCTGTGGACTTACTGTATTTTTTTCAAATCTTGGGAGAGATCAGTGTAATTTACCTTTGTTTTTAGGGGACACGCCATGGACACTTTAGGGACACGTCAACTAGTTTTTTTTCTCCCTTTTTCTTTAGTGTTTTTGATAGACATTGGATGTTTATTACTTTTTACTTATATTTAAACACTTAATAGATCATCCATAAAAAGATATAACCAATAAGTGTTGACTTAAAAGTGATTTTTTTTTTTTGTTGTGTCCCTTTTTCTTTCAAATATCAAATTAGTGTTAGTTTTTGTAATTTTGATTGTTTGTGGATGTGTTTCCATTTTTTTTAAATCACCATGTCCGCATCCATGTCTTTGTCCGTGTTTCTTAGTATATAAGTAATCCTATTGTGCAACCAACCCCCTTAATGCTTAACACATGTTTTAGTCCGCAAACCATGAGGGGGTTATGTTGTTTTTTCCAAACCACAAGGTGTAAATGAAATATGCCCTATATTTTATGTGACCTGTGAAACTTTATTGATAAGATGGCTGCTAGCCAGCTATATACCACCTGTTTTATTGGATTTTGTTTTTTTAATTCCTTCATGAATTCACGCAACAAACTTCCTACATAGACCCACCATATTCAAAAAATAATGGCGGTGAATTCAGTATAATTTCTGTTGATAATATATTTCTACCCTCTTTTTTTTTTTTTTTTTTTTTTTCTACCCTCTTTTTTTTTTTTTTTGCAAGTAAAAATATGGTTTGAAAGTGATGGATTTTATTCCAATCTGAAAAAAGAAAAGAAAAGAAAAGAAAAAAAGTGATGGATTTTATATAAATTACTTGATAGTTGATAGGAAATAAAGAACTTTGCCCAAAAGTGTTGGGATTCTAGCTTAAACAGGAAAGAATTTGGAAATAGGTGAATTTAAGACCATGTCAAGGATTTCTGAATCCACCAAATCTTTTTAATATTTTTATGAGGCCCATACCAATGGAAAATATTTATCTTGTTTCAAACGAAAGAGATTTTTGCCATTTTGTTTTTTCACTTCCAAGATAGTTGGTTTCTGTCTAAAGAATACAAATGAACTAGTGTCCAATTTATTTTGTTTTGGTTTGTTTTTTTTTATTTTTTTTGCTCATGACATTTCATTCATATCTTTTTACTTATTGTAATTTGTAATCAGTTTTAGTTAAGCAGTATGCCTTGTACAATGGGGACCTATTATGCGCTTGTTTCTAGTCACTTGTTGCTACCATCAAATATTTTAAACTACGATAATTTCTTATGTTGTGTCATGTGTGCCAAAAATGGGCCTGAGTTGCATAACGTTTTTAGTTTGATATCATTATGACACAGTTATCATTATCATTTGTGATTCAGTACAGGAGATTTGATTTCTGATTCAGAAAGTTCTCTGCATTCTGAGCAAGCTCCAGAAATCAGTTTGTGGGAGAGACTTGGTAAAGCTGCTATGTTGGACATTGAGTCAAATTCCTTTTCTTGGGACATGCTTTCTTCACTTCACCACACTGAACATAGTAGTGGCACTGAACATTCTGAGGATGAAATGAATAAAGCCTTGGAGGTATGGGATACATCTAAGCGTCGATTTATGGAGAGCCTTGAGTCTCCTCCAAATCAGTCTGAGGACTTTAAAATTTGAAGAAGAAATTTGCCGTCTAAGAAAGAATTTCTGACAGTCCATTTACAGTTTTAGAAGGAATCATTACTGATGCTGCCCCATTACATTGTTGGATATAATTTATTTGTCTATTTTAATTCCTGCCAGAAACACCATAACTTGGTTAAATTTCAAAGCCAAATACTGTTTCTTGGTCTCTCAGCATGTCTACATCAGTTTGATACTGAGAAATTGTTCTCTGGTTCATTAAGTGAGAACTTAGGAGGTTCATAGACAAGAACAAGTCAAACTACAGGAGTTTGCAGTTCAAATATCCATGTCCTACAATATATGTTAGTTTGTTATGCAACAGCCTTGTGCGCAAGTTATACCATCTCGCTACTGGCTCTTATTCTAAGAAACACTGAAACTCCAAGATGGGTGTTGTGTCTGTGTCCGACATGGTGAGGACACCAACACATCAGGGACATGCATGTCCATTGTCCAACAAGCACATTGGGTGTCAAAATTTTAATTATTATTTTTTCTGTAGGACATGCCTCAGGACACCTTGGTAGTATTTTTTATTTTTTTTTAAGAATAATTTATAAAGTTGACTTGGGGTCAAAGTAAACTATATGAAAATAAAGAAAGAATAAGTTGAAAAAATAAAAATACACTCACGTATACCTCGATGTCTCTCATATCTATGTATCATAAATTTATATTCATATACATAGTAAATAAAAATATATTCTTTTGTTGTATCCCCATGGCATCTATGTCTTAACCTGTTAGAATTTACCACTCACCTACTACCTCCACTATCTTTCTCCACACCTACCACCTCCACTATACCACTCACCTACTACCTCCACTATTTTTCTCCACACCTACCACCTCCACTATCACACACTCCACTACCATCTTCTCCTCTATATATAGGAATTGTAATATACAGAATAAAACAATCTTGTAATACATCAATAAATAATACATAATTCATTCTCTCTATTTCTATATACATCAATTTATTTTTTACATGGTATCAGAGCAGGTTTAGAACCTAATATTTTTTCGCTTCACCGGCGGGCGGCAACCTCACCTTAGCCGTCCGCCGGACAAACCCAACGATACTAACTTCACTTTCTCAGATAGTTCAGGGTGTGTCAGAAGGAGTTCAACTGCTTCTTTGATTTCCTGTATCTGAGCATCCAACCCACCTATATCAGCATACGATTCCAAAGGAGCCTTTTCAACCTTCATAACAGACACCATGGAATCAACTTCATCTTGAAGAAGCCCAACAACAGAAAGAACCTTATTATGCATCAAAATCGCGCAACCAGGCTCGAGCTGATCCTTGTCAACGAACGACAAAATCCCGACATAGTACTCCGGCCCCACCGACGACGACACGATGGCGTGATTCTCATCGATCAGCTCCTCGAGATTGCCAACGCTCATCGGCGAGCCTCGCAGATCGTCGACCTTAGATCGATCCTCCTCAGTCTTCTCCTCTTGGGGCTTCAATCTCTCCTTTTTCATCGACATCACGAAGATTGAGCTTCGAGATCTGATATTCGGCGCTCGATTTCACTCTTCGCAGACTTCAAATTCTCAATTTCGCGGAGAATTCGAGCCGACTCACCTCCGTTGGCCTCCATTATTGCTCTCTTTTCTCTGCTCAGACAGTGCGAGTAGTTTCACAGGGTTTTGAAGTTAGTGAGAACGAAGCTCATAATAAACCCAAAGTGAGAATAAAGGTATATGGGTTCGTGCACCCAGAATCCACGTGCGAACTGCTGGAAAAGGGTGTGTGCCCTTGGCAATTTGATCCAATCTTCCAGTTATAATAATAACCAACAACTCACTCTCTTTTTTTTAATACTCTTTCTCTTGCCCCACATGGGCATGTCTCCCCCCACTCATTCTCTCTCTCCTATTTCTACTTTTCAACCAACCATTTTAATATTTCAACCCACTCTTTCACCCCGTGCTTTGAGCAGTGATTGATTTTTTTATTTTCCTCTTCTTTTTTAAAACAAACATCATCATCTCATTTTTTAAAAAAACTCTCTACGCACTAGCATCTTAATATTCTTTCTTTCTTCTGTTTTTTATTTTTCTTTCCCATTCACAGCCCCATGTGCACCATTCATCTTCTTTATTTATTTTCTTTATTTATTTATTTATTTATTTTATTATCAATTAAAAAAAAAAAAAAAAAAAAAAAAAAAAAAAAAAAAAACAAAAAAACAAAAGTCGCTTCATAGCGCCAAGCTTACCTCAAGCAAGGTGCTCGCCCAACTTAGGTTTATGTCATCAAGGTGCCTAGCCACACAACAATGTGTTAGTGAAGGCCCTCGACTTAGCCGACAAGCCAACATTGCATGTTGGGTCTTTAAAAGCATCCTGAAGTGTCGTAGGGTCAAGCATGCCTCAATAGATGCATATTGGATGGCCAGTTGGTTATGCAAAGCCCACAAGCCACCGAGGGTCAATCTCTTGCCCACGGCGTAGTCCTCGTGCCAACACGTGTGTTAGATTCCGCCTAAGGCCATTGCGCACCTTAGCGTTGCACCAACGTGTACCATGAGTAAGGCAACATCTCAATCCGTAGCTTGCTTGTAGCATAATGTAATCCCTCAATGGACTTAGTCAATGCATAGCTTGATGCCTTCATTCGATAGCCCACATATGCAGTGTCGCCTTCCAACCGCTTAGCTTAAGCCACGGGATCCCCTCGTGCAAGGTTGAGCCTAAACCAAGCACTTGAGTTGGCACACGAGGCCTTCGGTGGTGCCTCGATAGCCCATTCGGTCCAAAACGAGTCCCAAAGATGCCATATTGCGTGGCATAATGGAAACAACGTAGTGAACCTCCCCCTCGGGAGGACACGCGCAGTGCTTACATTATTGCACCGTCCACGGGGCTCCCAAACCCACGTGGAGACTCCAGACACCCCTCTGGATGCCTAAAGCCCGCCCTTGAGTTGCCCCAATGTTGCTCACTTGAAGCCCAGTTTGGGCGGGGAGGTAGGTAGGTAGCACACCTTGCCCCCTTATATATGCTTGTTAAGCAATTTGCTCTTTGGCAGGAGGAAACATCATATATGTCCGAGGAGTCATAATGATTTTTCATAAATTCCACAAATTGAGAAAAATCACGAAACTTGGTCAGGAAAACACTTCCCCTAAGACCTCTTTCCAGTAAAAATTTCAACCCGAAACTCCTTCGTTTGAATGCCCAAACAATGCGCCAAAATTCTGCACTGTTGGATGCCATTGCTGGCTGCTGCTGCTGTATTTTGCTGCTGCTGGCAGCGCTGGTTGGCTATTAGCATGGGCTGCGGCTTTGCCGTTTGCTGGCTATTAGTGGCTTACATGCCTTGGGCTACTTGGGGCCAATGTTAAGCCACGCTGAGGCACTTCCAATGGCCACTCTTGAGCACTCAAATGGCCACACCACCGCGAGTGAAACGTCACAGAGTTAGCCTTGCAAGGCAACCCGTGACACCAGGCCAAGCAATTTGGCATCAAATATTTTTTGTTGAAACTGTTGAATAGCTTGATATACATTGTTGTGCTCATTTCCTAATAATATAAGTTATGGGAATATTGGTGACTTAATATGGTATCAGAGCTCAAGTTATGAGAGGTCTTGGGTTGAAATGCCCTCACTCATGTGCAGCCCCGTTTGCGTTCTTGCATTATTTCTTCTTTTATGTATGGATGTTTGTATCTCCATATGCGAGACGGGGTTGTATGTGAGTAATTGGTTAAATAGCGTGATATACATTTTAGTTTAAGCTTTTGGGAATATTGGTGACTTAACAGAAACAATGGTCAATTGGTTGTGTGTGTAGCCTTGGCACCTATTGGAGCAAGCTTTTTAAAGCATTGCTAGACAGTCTTTGGATTGTAAATATAATGAAGTTGGGCAATGAGCAGGTGACTTCCCTGGTTGGACCAGTTGGTCCATGACCGATCTCTCCTTCATGGTCACAAAAATGGACTGATCAACATAGTTAGCAATATATTTTTTTATTTTTATGTATTTTCTTGTTTTGCTCCTCTCTCCAAACTCAAGTTGGTTAGTTTCTATCCTCCTTGAGTTTGCGGGGGGCTGTTAGAATTTACCACTCACCTACTACCTCCACTATCTTTCTCCACACCTATCACCTCCACTATACCACTCACCTACTACCTCCACTATTTTTCTCCACACCTACCACCTCCACTATCACACACTCCACTACCATCTTCTCCTCTATATATAGGAATTGTAATATACAGAATAAAACAATCTTGTAATACATCAATAAATAATACATAATTCATTCTCTCTATTTCTATATACATCAATTTATTTTTTACATAACCCATGTCCGTGTCCGTGTCCGTGTCCGTGTCTTTACCCATGTCCGTGTCCATGCTTCTCTCTTATCTGGTCACAAATACAATAAGGATTTAGCACAATAGTTGTGTGTGTGTTTTTAAATACCTTGTGTCTTTCTTTGTACTATTTTCGTTTTTCTTACTTCTTTTCTCATTTTTATTAACCAAAATATACGACTGAACATTATTGTTTATACTTTTACCCATTGTCTTGTTTCATTAATGTGGATACAGGTCACCATAAATTCTGGGGGTGTTGTTTTTTTTGCTCTATTCAACCATCCTGTGTTTGATGAATCTTCCCCCAAGGAAGCAGCTGCTGTTATCAAAATATCATCTTCAAGGATGGCCACACAGTCAGAACGCCTCGGATATGAATTTGCAAAGTGGCTAGGAGTCCGAACTCCACAAGTTATATCTTCTTACTTCAGCTTTTACTTGATTTCTAACATCTTGGGCCGTAAGTCTGACTTTCTGCAAATATATTGTGTTTAAATATTGCAGGCCAGAGTTGTTCACAATTGTAGTCCGGAATGGTTGCGGATCAAGGAAGCAGCAGAGAAAGCAAGAGTTGCTGCAACTCTAGAAGGAGATGAAATTGGTGAATTGACATGTTCAGAACTTTTGGAAGCTCTTGAGCTTAGCCGGTGTCTTTTTCTGATGAAGTGCGAACAGAACATGATTGTATTGTAAATGAGGCGTTATAATGGAGCACCATGGAATACCCTTGCTTCCTTTTTTGCTTGCTGTCTACTTATTATATGCCCTAAGTGGCATAAAGAAGCCAATCAGTTTATCTCGTTTACATAGTAGGTTGCTAAAATTCTCACTTGTCTAGGATGTTAGGGCAGTCTGGCTAGGTGTCACGGGCCGACTTCTTTAGAGGCGCAGCGGATCAATTTTCGCCCGTGTGGCGCTCAAACTCCACCAAGTTTAAACCCGCCATAGCTCATTGACAAATCGAGTGTTGATGGTCTCACCCGTTTGAACATTAGGGCCCAATGCTTTGTCAAGCAAAACAAATTCACAAGGAAGCTCCGTCTTCACCCGGATGCCACAAGTAGGCCTAACGCCTCTAGTGCACCAAGCACGGCATAAGTCGCTTCATAGCGCCAAGCTTACCCCAAGCAAGGTGCTCGCCCAACTTAGGTTTATGTCACCAAGGTGCCTAGCCACACAACAATGTGTTAGCGAAGGCCCTCGACTTAGCCGACAAGCCAACATTGCATGTTGGGTCTTTAAAAGCATCCCGAAGTGTCGTAGGGTCAAGCATGCCTCAATAGATGCATATTGGATGGCCACTTGGTCATGCGAAGCCCACAAGCCACCGAGGGTCAATCTCTTGCCCACGGCGTAGTCCTCGTGCCAACACGTGTGTTAGATTCCGCCTAAGGCCATTGCGCACCTTAGCGTTGCACCAACGTGTAGCATGAGTAAGGCAACATCTCAATCCATAGCTTGCTTGTAGCATAATGTAGTCCCTTAATGGACTTAGTCAATGCATAGCTTGATGCCTTCATTCGATAGCCCACATATGCGGTGTTGCCTTCCAACCGCTTAGCTTAAGCCACGGGATCCCCTCATGCAAGGTTGAGCCCAAACCAAGCACTTGAGTTGGCACACGAGGCCTTCGGTGGTGCCTCGATAGCCCATTAGGTCCAAAACGAGTCCCAAAGATGCCATATTGCGTGGCATAATGGAAACAACGTAGTGAACCTCCCCCTCGGGAGGACACGCGCAGTGCTTACATTATTGCACCGTCCACGGGGCTCCCAAACCCACGTGGAGACTCTAGACACCCCTCTGGATGCCTAAAGCCCGCCCTTGAGTTGCCCCAAGGTTGCTCACTTGAAGCCCAGTTTGGGCGGGGAGGTAGGTAAGTAGCACACACCTTGCCCCCTTATATATGCTTGTTAAGCAATTTTCCCTCTGGCAGGAGGAAACATCATATATGTCCGAGGAGTCATAATGATTTTTCATAAATTTCACAAATTGAGAAAATCACGAAACTTGGTCAGGAAAACACTTCCCCTAAGACCTCTTTCCAGTAAAAATTTCAACCCGAAACTCCTTCGTTTGAATGCCCAAACAATGCGCCAAAATTCTGCACTGTTGGCTGCCATTGCTGGCTGCTGCTGCTGTATTTTGCTGCTGCTGGCAGTGCTGCTTGGCTATTAGCATGGGCTGCGGCTTTGCCGTTTGCTGGCTATTAGTGGCCTACATGCCTTGGGCTACTTGGGGCCAATGTTAAGCCACGTTGAGGCACTTCCAACGGCCACTCTTGAGCACTCAAATGGCCACACCACCGCGAGCGAAACGTCACGGAGTTAGCCTTGCAAGGCAGCCCGTGACACCAGGCCAAGCAATTTGGCATCAAATATTTTTTGTTGAAACTGTTGAATAGCTTGATATACATTGTTGTGCTCATTTCCTAATAATATAAGTTTTGGGAATATTGGTGACTTAATATGGTATCAGAGCTCAAGTTATGAGAGGTCTTGGGTTGAAATGCCCTCACTCATGTGCAGCCCCGTTTGCGTTCTTGCATTATTTCTTCTTTTATGTATGGATGTTTGCATCTCCACATGCGAGACGGGGTTGTATGTGAGTAATTGGTTAAATAGCTTGATATACATTTTAGTTTAAGCTTTTGGGAACATTGGTGACTTAACAGAAACAATGGTCAATTGGTTGTGTGTGTAGCCTTGGCACCTATTGGAGCAAGTTTTTTAAAGCATTACGAGACAGTCTCTGGATTGTAAATATAATGAAGTTGAGCATTGAGCAGGTGACTTCCCTGGTTGGACCAGTTGGTCCATGACCGATCTCTCCTTCATGGTCACAAAAATGGACTGATCAACATAGTTAGCCATATAGACAGCAATCAGAGGAGGAAGCATGAAAAAACTAAGGTGATCATTAGATTTTGATTTGTTTCTCCTGACCAAAAGTTTCTGTTTCTGCAGTTACATACATGGATCTCCTCTATTGGATAGCTCCAATGCATTTGATTCACAAGAAGCTGCAGAGAAGACAGCGGCAGCCCTTGGCAGGATCTTGACATTGGATCTAATCATCAGAAATGAAGATAGGCTTCCTTGTCATCAGCTCAGATGGCGTGGAAATTCTGCAAATTTATTGTTAGCTGACAAAATGGCATCAACAAATATGAATATATTGGAGGAAAGCTTTGATTCGGCAATCAAGAGATATAGACCAAGAGTAATTCAGGCTCTTGAGAAAGAACGAAGATCGACTTCATTTGATAGCAGATTGAATCTTAACTCTGGATTGGTATCTCAGAGCTCTGATCTTTCAGATGTCACAGAATCGCCAAAATCTAGCAATATAAGCCTAAAAAGTCAATCTTCGAATGCTTCAACATTGGCTGATTGTAATGTTGTGGCCATTGACTCTGGTGTTCCACGTCGACCGCCTGCTGGCAAGCGTGTAAATGACCAAGAAAATTACCCTAAGCTGGTTGAGCTCCTCATCAACAGTTCTGACTACTCCTCAAATCTGTTATATGAGATAACCAGAGGGAAATTAGGATCACCACCAGATGATGCTGATGTAATGACAGATTTGCATTTGACTGACATAACTTCAGTTGTTCATGAATTTCAGCGTGGATTCCGTTCTGCTCTAAGGGACTTGCAGGGATTTCAGATATTCCTACTTACACTTCACCAAAAACTGGATAGCCTGTTACGAGTATTTATGGATACTGTAAATAGAACTTCCTTGGGGGAATATGACAAAGAGGATTTAGTGGTTTCAGAGTCACCACCACATGTTGCAGGGATAGGTGTTCATTGTCCGTCTCCACCAAATAAGGAAAGGGTTATTAACAACAACCATTCTGATGTACATGATCCGGAGTTGCTGAGGACAGCTCCAAGGCTGTCATCTTCAGGATGCAAAGAAAGCCCTGACTCTGGTTCTTCCATCTCTTCCATCTCACGAGATGGTTGGCATGGAAAGTTCAACAAAGGGAGTGCGGAAACACTTCGTAGCTTGCGTATGACATCAAAGCTCCGTGACTTCCACAAATTTGCCAAGGTTTGTTGTATTCTTAGAGGATTACAATGTCATTAGATAATTATACCATATTTTTGGACATTGTACAAATAACTGCTTAAAACAAGATTTGATGTTTCATGCCCACAAGTTCGCATCTGGATTCTCTAAATTGAGGCCAATGATCATTGTTTATTTGGGTTACCATTTTGAAGATGATGTCCAGAATTATTGGAAAAGTTTTCTTAAAGAGGAATGGCATCTTTGTGCTGATAGACCATAATATCAGGATAATCAATCACATGCTAGTCAATTTTGTCTTCTCATTATAAGGATTAGAATTGTGTACAGTTGATCAATGCTTAGTCCAAGAACTGACCTCGATACCTATGGCTCTGATTGATTGTGCAGTCTGGTGTTTTTTACTTTTTAGTTGGCAATTTTTGGAAATCTGCTTTCTGGTGGATTTGATTGATTGATTGATACTCATTTTGGATAACATTTCCTTTGAGCTTAGGCATGTTGCTAATGAACATTAGTTTGGCATGCATTTTTTTTGTTCTATTGAAGTGATTTTTATTTTTTTGTCTGCATGTCACTGAAGGGGTTCTCTACTCATATTCAAATCATAGTTGTATCAAGAGCTCAAGCTATTCTTCTGTGCTTCTTAAATCAGCAGAACTTTTTTCTGAACAATAATTGTATTAATTGTAAATTTGGTGTTCATCATCATTCTCAGGTTGATGTGGAACTAAACAAAGAATTGGAACAATGGAATGAAATTCTTAGAAATGATGCTCTAAAACTATGCCAGGAGAACAATTTCAATACTGGATTTTTTGAGGGCAGTGATAATAACAGTGTTGTTGATGCATATGAGTTGAAGGTAATATCTGCTACTTTTCTTTCTCTTGGCTTGTGTCTTTTTAGACAGACATATTCCTTTAGACAGACATATGAGTTGAAGGTAATATCTGTTACTTGGCGGTGACTACTTATCTGTTGGTCCATATTCCGTTACAGGTCAGACTTGGGCACACTCTTGAGAGGATAGCATTAGTATCGGATGCTGCAAATACAGAGAAACCATCATCAATTTCATGTAGCCTCTTCATTGGTGGGGCCCTGGCTGCGAGATCTGTTTACACACTGCAGCATTTGGGAATCACACATATATTGTGCTTGTGCTCTAATGAAATTGGGCAGTCAGATTCTCAGTATCCTGACTTATTTGAGTACAAAAATTTTGCTGTGAGTACTTTCTTCCTTGACTTTCTGTTCCTGGAATTGGTTTATTTTTCAGCAGGGTAATGTTTGTACTGTTATTATTATTATTGGACTTAAATTTACATTTCTATATAGATGTATGTATGTACATTTCATATATTATGCGATGACTGCTTTTCTTTTGAGGCAACCTAAACTCATTAATGGCTTGATATTTAACCTCTTCTTTGGGACCCTTTGTTTCTCTTCATTCTTGTGTCTCAGTTTCTGCCTGAATTTTCTGCAATTAATTTTTATGATTCTCAATCTTCAAATCCTTTCTGAGGAATATCTTTTTAGTACGAAACTTTTTGCTGCTAGAATTGGATCTTCACACAGTTGAGACAGATGTTTTTGCAGCCTTTGAGAAAACATTTTGACTGAATATATGTACAGTATACAACAGGTCTTTGTTCTAGGTCTTTGCTTTTTTGGATTGTAGTATACAGCACTGTGTATATCATTCCTCATGCTAACCTTAACTTGAATCTACCTATATAATTTGAACAACCCAAGTGGGTCAACCGACAGCTGCATTGCATGGATGTGAACTTTGAAGTACTAAACACTGAAGGAGTAATTGATAAAAATGAATAGAAGTTTGTATAAAAGGAAATTTTTGTTAACTGAAATACAATAATATTAGCAAACATGGTTTAGGGTTATAATATTGTAGAGACGAACCTAAATGCTAATTGCTCACCAAAATGGATATCGTTGGATAAAAATGATACAAATTACTAGAAACAAAATTTATGTTTCCTAAAATACAGTACCAAACATGGTTTAGGATTATGAAATCCTAGATTAGAACCTGAATGCTATTTGTTCACTAAATATGATGTCAAAAAATATTGAACATGATTGTTTTTGGATTAACTAAAGATTTTATAAGAAAAGGCATCAAGGGAGGTCACTTTAAACAGATCAAACATGATTGGTAGAGGATAATGACAACTATGAGCTTTGGAGAGAGAGAGAGAGAGTGTGTATGCGTGTGTTAATGTTTTTCTTTTTTTATTTTTTCCCCCTGATGCTCCCACCGTATACACTAAATCTCAGATATGTATCAGTTATCAACTTTCTACTTGACCTTTTTGCAAGTGATTTATAGTAATGTCGTACTGGAAGGAACAGATATGTGATGAGGAAGATGCAAACATCAGTAGTATCTTTGAAGAAGCGCATGATTTTATTGATCATATTGAACAAACAGGCAGGAAGGTTCTGGTTCATTGCTTTGAAGGGAGAAGTAGAAGTGCAACAGTAATTCTGGCTTACTTAATGCTCAGAAAGTAAGTACACTATTGCATCCTTGTACATTTGTGGCATTTGTAACGACACTTGTATCTTCATAGAAGTTTAAATTTGGCAAGGAACCCACTTATTGATAGAATCTTTCACACCATTATCCTATATATATATATGGGCAAATTACACTTTACTCCCTTTAATTATGGGGGTTTATCACTTTTCTCCCCTCAACTAAAAATTGTTGCATTTTGTCTCCTTAATCTTTTGATTTGTTTCTCTCAACCTTTTGTTAATATTTTGTTATGAAAAGATGATGAAAAAGTGACACGGGAGTTGTACATGCCAATTTTATGACTAAAATGCTGAACAAAAAACTAGTGTATATATATTATTTATGAAAAATGTTTGGGAGCTCTAAATTGGAAGCACTAAAGGAACTCTAGAGAGTGGGTCCTACTGACTGATGTGATGTTTTGGCCTTAAGTTTTTTTTTTTTTCTTTTTTTTTTTTTGAATTTCCACCTCATTAGTGGTCCATTAGTGCGCTCCCAAATTAGTGGGATGTATCATTGTTGATTATTTATTTTTCCTCACCAGTCAAAATTAGCATGTGCATAAATTTTCTCTTACATTTCATTATATGAGATGAGAAGTTATATAAATATCTCTCATGCATATATCATAAAATTGGCATGTACAGCTCACATATCACTTTTCCATAACAAAATATTAACAAAAGGTGAGATTAAAACGAATCAAAAGATGAAATCTGTGTAAGTAACAAATTTTCCCTATATATTATGCGTAGGAGGAGTTATTATTTGGGAAATAAATACAAAATGAATGTTTATTGGTCAAGAAATTAATGGTTTTTCCCTTATAATGTAGGAACTTGACTCTTCTGGAAGCATGGAATAGACTGAAAAAAGTTCACCGGCGAGTGCATCCCAATGATGGGTTTGCTAAGATTCTCCTGGAACTGGATAAGAAGCAGCATGGGAAGGTCTCCATGGAATGGCAACAGAGGAAACCAATGATGAAAGTGTGCCCAATCTGCGGGAAGAATGCTGGGTTGAGCAGTAGCTCACTCAAGCTCCATTTGCAAAAAGAGCACAAGAGGCTGTCGTCAGGGAGTGTGGACAGTGCCATGACGATGGAAATACAGAAGGCTTTGACTGCACTCAAGATGAGTCATGGTGGAAGTGTAAGCCAATGGTAAGCTTCCATTTGTCTGTGAAGTTAGAAACCAGGGAGCTACTCTTCGGATATACTGGATATACGTATCATACGTGTAAATATCCATCACTGAAGATAGTACATTTGTTGACCACTAAAATCTGTGTAGTTGACCACTGTATGTACACCTGTATGTACACTTTTTACATTGTTACACAAGATGATATTGTGAGATAGATTATTCCCTTGGCATGTATGTTCTAGTGTCTCCAAACAGTGTATTCATAAGAATCTTGATTCTCAATCCTTGAACTGCAATAAAGTTGAATTTCTTCAAAACAGTTTGGAAGAAGAATATGAGAGGTCTCTGCAAACCATTCTCAAGTAATTGGTACAAAACTTGGTTGAGTTAGGTTATGAAGAATGGCATGCACCACTTTTAATGACATGAAAATACAGTAAAATTATTAATTAAAATAAAATACAAACATGTGAAATGGGAAAAGAAGCTGATGCACTTGGTTTGGATAGGTAACCAAAATAGTGGCACAACGTTGTAGGAGAAACAAAAGACATGTTTTCCGGACACCTTGAGCATCTTGCACTTACAATTAATTTACTGCACATCTCAAGCAGAATATTGCTGAAAAATAAATAAGTAAAATAAAAATAAATAACAATATTAAAATTGTAATCCTTCACAAATCAGATAAAAAGTAAAACCAACTGAACCCTTTTAGGTTGATTTAACAAGTCCTTTCATTAATAAGACATCTCTGCAAATCTAACTGTAAAAGCATCCTACTGTTTCACTTAACTATGAGTGCATTTTCATAATGTTAATGTAATATGTAGATACAACTTTAAAAACCTACCACAGTTTCATAGAATGGCTTCAACCCACCAGCAAATCAGTCCTTCAATGAAACAGACTTTCAATAATAGTCAGCTCGAAAGCAGAGCAGCACTACAAACAACACAGAGAGTAAAGCCTTTGATGTTACACAGTGATTGGCTCTGGTAATGATTCAGGAGGTGCACCGCTGCTACCATTGAGAACGGTAACATTACCATCAGAATCAACATCAACAATCACAGAATCGCCCTCTTTGATCTCTCTTGCCAGCATCTTCTCAGCCATGCTGTCCTCCAAGAGTCTCATTATGGCCCTTCTAAGTGGCCTAGCACCATAGCTTGGGTTGTATCCTTCGTCAACCACCCTATCTCTAAATCTCTCTGTGACTTGAAGCTCTATATCCTTAGTCTTGAGCCTGTCAAATACTTCTTTAAGCATTATATCAGCTATCTCCTTCACCTCCAGTTTGGTGAGCTGCCGGAATACAATCATCTCATCCAACCTATTCAAGAACTCTGGCCTGAAATATTGTTTGAGTTCCTCGGTCACCAAGCTCTTGATTCGGTTGTAACTGCTATCCTTCTCATCATAATCCAGATCAAAACCTATCCGTCGACCACCCTTTTCAATCACACTACTACCAACATTTGAAGTCATAATCAAAAGGGTATTCTTGAAATCCACAGTTCTGCCTTTGCTATCTGTCAACCTTCCATCCTCAAGAATCTGAAGCATCATGTTGAAGACATCAGGGTGAGCCTTCTCAATCTCATCGAATAGTACAACAGTGTAGGGACGGCGCCGAACAGCCTCAGTTAGCTGACCACCTTCTGTGTAACCAACGTACCCGGGAGGAGAACCAATGAGCTTGGACACCGTGTGTCTCTCCATGAACTCACTCATATCGAGGCGGATCATGGCTTCTTCAGAGCCAAAGTAGTAGGCAGCTAATGCTTTTGCCAATTCTGACTTACCAACACCAGTTGGACCAGAGAAGATGAAACTAGCAATAGGACGATTCGGGTTCTTGAGTCCAACACGGGCACGGCGAATAGCACGGCTGATGGCTTTGACAGCTTCATCCTGACCAACGACTCGCTTGTGGAGCGTCTCTTCCATCTTGAGGAGGCGATCAGATTCATCAGTTGACACTTTCTCAACCGGAATGCCAGTCCATGATGAGACAATGTGCTGGATGTCCACTTCTGTCACAACAGGACCTCCATCCCCTGCTTCAGTCTCTGCTTTGCTCATCTCTTTGCCCTTGTCTACAAGAGCCGTAATCTGAGCCCTAAGGTCCATTTCTCTATCACGCAACTCCCCAGCCTATACAAAATTTTAGAAATATAAGCTTCCTAGTTAAAGATGATAAAGATACATTCAGCATCCTAAAGGGCACAGAAAAAAAAAAAAAATTTATTTATCACATATACAAGGGATGGAAGCCCAAATATGATAAAGCTTTCTCACAATTTTCTTCTATGAAGCCCAAATTTGGTTTAAAATCTCCTTAAATTTTTTTGGAAAGACTCAATTATAAATTGCAATCCAAAATCCAACAGATAAGGGAAAACAACATAGAATTAAGTACCTTTTCAAAGTCCTGGCTGCGAACAGCTTCATTTTTCTCTTTTGTAATCTGCCTCAGCTCTTTGTCAAGCTCTCTGGCCTCCTCTGGGAGCTGCAAAAAGAAAAGAACGTGACTTGACCACTCAAAAAGTGTCACAGGGAAAAAAGGGTTAGTAGAATAAATATCTATACCTGTGCATGACGAAGTCGAACCCGAGAACCAGCCTCATCAACCAAGTCAATTGCTTTATCAGGTAGGAAGCGGTCACTAAAATTTACAAAAACACCCATCACATGCAGAACTGAATAGTGAATACGGCTGGGTAAGAAGTAGGTAGGACAATGTGAAAGTATAACTATATGGAACAAGATTCTAGACAATTAAAAAGGTGACCAGTAAGCTAAAAGTAAATTTGTCATGATGGATATATGAAAAATCTCTTTTAATTTGAATAAGTGTGTTCACTTAATCAGTCATATATATATAAAAGCTCAAAAGTTCGTTAATTGCACATATCCCTAAAATATTGCCTTTCTTTCCCCCTTTTTAGGTTAATTTCCCTCACTTCAGTAGATAAGCATGCAAGCATATCTCAAGAGAGATATCCAAGACACCTATCAAGAAAAAGAAGAAAAAAAAGGTGATCTCCAAGACAGGTTTCCTTTGCAATTTCCTCACCGGTGAACAATCCCCGCACTTCTGTGTTCCAATGAATAACAGTTCTCTCGCTTACTGTAATTAATTAGAATAGAGGTTGATACCTCGGGAGTTACATTTGTAACAATGTTAAATTCACACGGTGATATATTATCTTTGCAAGAGTGCTACCCTGCATGTGGTCTATGTCTGGGGAGCATACTTGACAGGAAATACCCAACCAAGATCTATGGTTAGGTTCTAATGTACAAACTACAAACTTAGTACTTGACAAAACAAATTTGTGGAGTTCTGGTTTGTCCTCTGCTCTTCATCTCTTTGGTTTTTCGTTTCTATTTATTTATTTGAAGGTTTGTGGAAATTAACTCTCTTTGGTAAAGGCTAAAAAAGTCACATTTTTTCTTAACATTTTTTTGTCTTTAATGAATTTTTAAAAATTTGTCCATTATTTTTTTCTGTTCACATCTTTTTAGTCTAGAAGGATCTAAATAGTAAAGATATTTGAATAAAGACAAAAAGTTGTTTGTCCTTAGTGGACTGTTCTCAATTTTTTTGTATTTTATTTATTTTTAGGGTCTTCTAGTCTAATGGGACCCAAAAGTGAGAAGGTATGATTTCGGATAGAATCAACTGGAGGAGGAGGATCCATGCAACCAACCCCAAGTATTTGGGATATTGACTTGTTAAATTGAGTTGAGCTGAGTTGACTCAAATTTAATATGGTTTCTGGAAATTACTAGAAGAGTAAATCCACTGCCACTAGCCTAAACTTTACTTCAAAGTTAATGACACGAGCCTTTCCAGACTGATATGTTGCCATATGAGTAGTAAGTAGCATGAGGTGGTTTCATTCTCCAGTTAGCAAATGCTAGCTAGAAGAGATCCTGCATCCTAACTTCAGTTGCAGTCCAATTGACCCAAGACGGACATTACTCCCAGTGCAATTGCTTTTGTTTTTATTTTCTTTGGAACAGATTGTACCAGGAAGTGCCACCCCTCAGATAAAAAAGTACCACATTTTTTAATAGTCTACTAGAGGCTGCTTGGAATAATATGGAATGTGCAATTCGTCTATTACGAAGCAAATATGTACCAGTTTTGCTGTGCACTATATTGTCAATAAGGAGTGCTATTTCCAAAATTTCCTATCCTAATATCATTGTTATAAACTATTCATTGTCCCCCATTCTAATTCTCACCTTTCGTTTCTCAACCCAAAAAGAAAAAAGTAAAAAGAAGAATAAGAAGAAAAACTGCATTGCTATAAATGCATCTCCTGATATACAATACTAGGTTCATTTACATTTTCCTAGACAGAGTTCCATGTATCTACCAGAGTCCGTGACTCTCTGCAAAACTATGGAAAAGGAAAATAAAGACAAAGAAAATTATTAGTGAAACCACATACCTAATGTACTGGTATGACAGTTGTGCTGCAGAAACTAATGCCTCATCTGTGTAACGGAGCTTGTGGTGAATCTCATATCGTTCTCGAAGCCCTTTCAAAATCTGAATAGTTTCATCAACAGTAGGTTCAGGCACCTTAACAGGCTGGAATCGTCTCTCCAAGGCCGGGTCTTTCTCAATGTGCTTTCTGTATTCATCAAGTGTGGTGGCTCCAATACACTGTATTTGGTTGGAATAAGGGTGTAATTATTTTGACGTAAATTAGAATACAAATTACCTTCAACAGAATATTTATGAACACCAAAACACACTTGCAATGGAGAATATCACATTAATTTTTCCGTACACCAAAAAATCAATTCCACAAATAGATAAACTTAGAAATCTGACAGTAATATAAGTTAACAACATCAACGCAAAACCAAGAACACTAGAATTATAAACCATCCACTCCCAAGACAAGTTCAGTCATAAATAAAAATTCTAATAAAACTTTTCTACCATGACTGAACTCAGTACCAGTATTGTGACTTTCAAATCTCAATTTTCCTGCATGGGTCCATAAATTTGACAAATCCCAAATTTTGGACAATTGGTCAATACTTCTCAACCACTTTAGGACATAATGGGATGCAACTCTTTTCAAGTAAAGTATTAAAGAAAAAAAATGCAGTGCAGAATTATTAAAGAAAAAATATGCATTACTCATCCCAAAATTATCAACTGCTTAAATTTTCTCCTTTTGATGCATAGACCTAAAGCAGTTTCTCATAAAAGATAAAAATAAAATTAAAAATTGAGTTCAAACAAGGGGAAGAGAATGAGTTCAAGTAATTGTGTACCCATATACCTGCCTAAGTTCACTTAGATGGAAAAGCTAAATATCCAGAGCTTAAAACGAAAGTAAAAATCCACATGATCAATGTTCATTTTGCATGTTTGAGTTCTATGTTACCTGCACTTTCTGTATCAAATCCATATTGATCCTACGTAACCATAACTTAAAACAAGTACAGGCTGCAGCTTTATGGTAATGCATGCGTTGGTTTTACCTGCAATTCACCTCTTGCAAGAGCTGGTTTCAAGATGTTCGCAGCATCAATTGCCCCCTCTGCTGCTCCAGCTCCAATTAATGTGTGCACCTCGTCAATAAATAATATTATTTCATCACTTTGTTTAATTTCCTCCATCAACTTTTTTAGTCTTTCCTCAAACTCTCCACGGTATTTTGTGCCAGCAACAAGAAGACCCATATCCAGGGTTATAACCTGAATTAACCAGATAGCACATAATTATATTCCAGCATTGGGGAAGAGAAGAGTGAACAATAATGTTCAACCCAATTGACAACACTGGGAGCATGTCATTTTTTTCTTCCTAGTAGCAGGCAGGGGTGATTATTCTATATTAGAAGAGAATGTCCTAAATACCAGGATATTAATCAATTAAATACTAGCATATTTTAGGCCCTGGAAAGGCAATAAAATGAATTCTATGATTTGAGACAAAAACACATGTCACAACCATCAAGCAACTTCTCACAGCAAAAATTACTAAATGGAGGTTGGAGCCTCCAAGGAAAAAGCAATTTGCAAGGGGTAAAGACTAAGGACAGTCAAAGGACATCTTTGCATATATAATGTAAGACAGGTCAACAAACTGCAGGCACATCATTACGGACTTTTTCAAATATTCGGAAAATAGGCGAGTTATTTTAAACACATAGAGCATATACAAGGGTCTATACATAAGATTGCAACAAGAAGTGTGGCTGGTTAATCACATTTGGCAGCTCAGGTAGGAATTCCCTGATGGAATCACATTCTCAACACCTCTCACTTTCATCCACTGCAATGAATCTCAGCCTTCATATTCATAAGGAAAATAATACACTTAAGATACACGAAAGAATCCAGTTTCAGTGAATTTAAAGAATTATTATTATTTGTTTCATATTTTGCATAAAAAGAATTCAAAAACGCATCACCAACAAGCCAATGGAGAACATGAAGTAATTAGCAAGATGGACACAATCAGTTAGCAATCTAAGCAAGCATGTAAGAAGATACATGAATATGAATTGTTCGGCAGAATGCATAGTTTCCTATTTAGCACACAATCTGATTAGCTCCAATCTTCAAATAAATTATTTAGTTAGAATGAATTCATAAAACCTTACTGATGGATGGATGCCAAACAGTATGAAACTGAAATGAAAATAAATGTGTGATTCCATATTTTCTCCTTCTATATCCTCTCCCCACTCCAAGCATGAACAGAAGTAAATGAACCATATTTTCTCCTTCTATATCCTCAGAAATTCTCTTATGATTGATGATTTAATATTATACATATCACATTTCCCAAGTTCTACACGCCTGCAACAATGCACCATGCTTTACATCAATCTGAACTTATTAAAAAAGAGGACGTTATCTGTGTTGAATATGTTGGGCTCCTACCTCAATGCTATCCTAAAAAGATTAATGCTAGAGGGACTTTCTATTAGCAAAATACCAACATTGCAGACTGAAATAAAGTGATTTCATATCACTTCAATAGAGTCTATAATGTTGCCTATAAAACATATTATATATATAGTGTCTATCAGGTCCCACACATGAAACTTGAACCCTGTGTAACACCATTTATAACAGAAAATAGTATATCAATCTGTGTCTTAAAATCAATATAAACGTCCACTCACCTTCTTCCCCTCAATTGTTTCTGGAACATCACCATTTGCAATTCGTTGTGCAAGGCCTTCTGCAATAGCGGTTTTCCCCACACCAGGCTCTCCGATAAGGCAGGGGTTATTTTTCGTCCGTCGACCCAAAATTTGAGTCACGCGTTCTATTTGCGGCTGCCTTCCAACAACTGGATCCAATTTACCCTAACAATGCAAGAGAATTGGCTAACTAAGCTACTCATGAATAAGAGCAAATTCATTCATACGAATAACATATAAATTTAATCTCAAACTACCTCTTCTGCCATTTTTGTCAAATTAGTGCCATACTCCTCCAGTGTTGGCATCTTATTGCCACTAGATCCCCCTCCAACACCAGCACCAACAGCTTCTGTACTTTCTCCAACCATTCGGATGACCTACTTGCCCCAACAAAGATTTTACTTTAGTTAATTTGAATTTAGGAGTCAAATCATTGTACTTTCAAAGACAAATAATTGGCTTTTATGAGCAAACATACCTGTGTGCGGATGTTACCTGGATCAGCACCTAAATTTTCAAGAACACGGGCTGCCACACCTTCACCCTCACGAAGCAATCCCAGCAACAAATGCTCGGACCCAATATAATTATGACCTAAAATATTAAAGAATACAATTAATCAATTTTCACTTCTCATTATTTCTTAGAAAATATATTATCATCCAAGGGAACCATACTATCAATGCAAATTCATTGTAATAGTAAGTCAAATGTTTATCACAAAGCCACATAGAATATAATTCAAACACACAAATGCAAGAAAGATCTTCCTTGTAATTTTTATTTAAAAAAATTAAAGCTTTTTGCGTGGAAGTTTTAAAGTTGACCCATTGTTGGTTCTAAATTTCTAAACCAAGAATAGAAGAAGCAGGTTACCAAGCTGGCGGGCTTCCTCTAGAGAGAGCTCCAAAACACGCTTTGCACGAGGAGTAAATGGAATCTCCACAGCAACAAATCCGCTCCCCCTTCCAATGATCTTCTCCACTTCTACGCGGGCATCTTTCAAATTGATTCCCATAGACTTCAGAACCTTAGCAGCAATGCCGGTGCCCTCACCAATAAGACCCAACAAAATCTGCTCTGTCCCAACAAAATTGTGACCAAGCCGCCTTGCCTCCTCTTGCGCAAGCATAATGACTTTTATTGCTTTTTCTGTGAAACGTTCAAACATAGCCTTTGGGACCATTCGACTAACCCTTCCTCGTCGGACAGAGGTTGAAGCTGCTACCTTAGAATGGAAATCATGGCCTGATCTTACCATATCTAGAGCATTAGATCCTCGCAGTCCTGAAAAACCTCTCAACCTAAGTGGAGGTGCTTGTGAACTACACATCATTTTTACTGTCCTTTTCGTTTTCCCAGACCCCTTGTGCTGGCTGTGTCTTTCACCAGCAACTGAAGAAGGGAAATTAGTCGACTGAACCAGAGCTCCAGCCATGATTTCCACCAACTCGTCTGCATTCAGTAATGGTAAAGAAATAAACAGCAACATCATGAGCATGAGGAATGTGCAAAAAACATATCTCAGTAATTTCCATGAATGAAAGCTAAGCATCAACCTTTCATATACCAGGAAAACAGAAATTATAAGTTCACATTAATGGTATAAAAGTTAAAAAGGACCAACAAAGACGGACATAATTAATACCAACTTATTATCAAGAAAAAGTATAAATAAGTATAATCTCTTCCAGGTTCTCACTAGTAACATGAGAAGCTTGCATTCAGGCTGATAAATGCACAGCAGATGCTTCCACAAACGTAGAACACTTTCATATTATCAAAACAGGTCTGATTCATCAATGTTATTAAGGCAGGCCAACCTCTGACATCAGTAGATAGAAATTGCCATTATTATCTCGCCTTCCAATACAGATTAGAAATTACATCAGGAGATGAATCTATAAAAGGTTATCTGGATACAAAAGCACGTAATCAACGAATCCTATAATACTTGTCTTTGGATGATACACCTAATCTTATATCCACAGAAACAAAGTAGTTTTCAGACTTTCAGTATTCAAATGAATGGGTGCGTCTGGAAGAATGTCAACATATGTAACCCTAACAACATATAACCCCAAACAATTGATAAAGAATGGATAACATCTAAAAATCAATAACAAGAACAATAAAAGTGATAAAAATAAGTCAACTTCCAGCTTGCAGACTAATGAAAACTACTACTATATTGGCTCATTTTGTCAGACAATGAAATGAAACACATTTGGGTCCAAGCCAAATAATGTAATAAGCATTTAAAAGTTTTTATTCAAATTCAATTGAAATGCACAAGAACTTCTCTTGCTAGTTTACTGCCTAGAAAAAGTGAATTGACACCTCGACAAGGGTTGGCTATGATATGACATAAACATGTAAAAACTCCTTAGTGAAGACGATAAATTTAATATGCTAATCAAAACTACAAATGAAACAGAATGTTTGGCTAGAAAAAAAAAAAAACAGACCTTTTAACTAATGAACTCCCTAAAACTTGGATTCACAAAAGGCAATTTAATCAATCAGATAATAGCATAATCAAATTCCAGAAGAAAACCCAAGCCACAAGGCAGAAAGAATATTTCATACTTTAAAACGTAGTTGACCTTAATCATATTCTCAGATAAGCACATGAAAATGGAAAGGAACAATCATTATCCACTGAAGCATTTACAAAAAGCAAAGAATATACTTCGAGTCAACAGCAAAACAAGAAAAGGCAATTTACACAAAACAACACACAATTTGCAACAAATCCCCATAAACTAATTTGCAAAACAGATAATTAGATCACTGAAATTAACATAAATTTCCACCTACATCAATACACTCAATAACCAACACCCCCAACAAAAAAAATTCCAACTTTTAGCCTCTCCAATAAGCAACAAAGGAAGAATTACTCAGGAAATCATCAGAACACAAGAAATTGATGAAATTCGAGAAAACCAATCAACAAAAACCCTAAATTGAAAAGTTGAAAATTAGATTGAAACATAACTCCAAACCCAAATTAAATCAAAACCCAAGTTCAATACCACACAGAAAGGAGTAATCAACACATATATGAACATTGATTAGATTGAAATACTGTACCTGAGTAACTCAAGCAGAGCTTGATTGATTCAAGAAGAGAGAGAGAGAGAGAGAAGCTAAGGTCTTTCTTTGGGTGAGAGAGGCCTTATATGGGTCGGCTTTGATGGAGAAGAGGATGTAGATGTGGACGATAATAGGCGGTTCCGAATACTATCTCGATATCATGTACCCAAATTATCTCACTGCAAGCTAACGTCACTGCCCTGTTCTTTATTTAACGTCACGGACGCTACCTTGACGTTAGATTTGCATACAACTTTAATAGTCAAACCGCTCAGAAGCAGTTTTAAGTTGTAACCGCATCATCTGCAATACATTAGTGTGATAAAATTGGCCATGATGTAGGTGATCTTGATCGCTGGCTTAATATTTTGTGTACCTATTTTGACCCTAAGCAGTGGGTTGTGATTGGCTGGAATGAAGAAATGCTAGAAGTTTATTTATGAAAAATCTAATTCTTAAGTTTTAAACTCAGCTATAATGAGTTGGCAGTAGATCTTATCTATCGTGATCAGATTTTTTTATTTATTTATCATGTCATTAATATTTGATTAAAATACCAAAAATTAATAATATGAATCATTGCTGTTTATTTATTTAATGTTCCATTAAAATACCAAAATTAGTAATATGAATTATTGCTGTTTATTTATTTATTGGCCAAGAAGAAATGCTAGCAGTTAGAGCTCGGAATGTGAAAACGTCACTGTAACGAAAGCCGTATACGATACCAGCTTTTGGCTAGATTTTTTAGTTGGTTTTTTTTGGCCTTTTTAACTGTTTTCACTTGAAATTAAAAATTTATTTGGTTTGATTTTTTTGAATTTTGTATGAAAAAAAATGAAATAATTATGATTTGAATGTGATATTTTATTTTATTAAGTTATTTAGTCTATTTTGTCTTTTGTGTTTTTTTTAATTGAAAAGTCTTGCCAAACACGATCTGATAAATTTTCCAAAATAACAACAAACAGCATAATTTTGAAATAGTCCATTTTTTTAAAAAACAGTCCAATCCACCAAGTAAGGGAAAAGGACAATGAGTCTGCTAGGCGTATAGGTCTATAAGGTGTGCTCCATGTCATTCTTATAGGTCTATAAGAATGGAGAACTAAGACGATGTGGCTTCTCTAGTGTACCAAGCTTACTTGTTCATTTATCCGTGCTCAGCCCAAGGTCGTCCCTTTGTTCGGCTAGGTCTGAAGAGTAGAACCAAACTCGGTTCCTTTAACTTAGCGTATCTAGCATACATTACTGCTTGACCTATTTCAGAATGGCCTGAAGTTTTTGTTATTGATAATTTCGTTTGACAAAATTTTTTTCAGTTGTAATTTTATTCGATTTTTTATTTTAGTGAGGTTATAAGTATTTAGATGCGAATTTAATCCGAATTGTGCCTCGCAGAGGAGTGTGTGATCTTAACCCTTTTATGTTTGTCACTTCACTGACTATGTACGAGGATCGAGCTGTTGAAGTTATTTGATCGCTTGAGTAGTCATTCGTGCACTCGAGCAAAGAAACAGATTATCCAGTATTTTTGTAAAGCGCTTGAATTTCTAAGAAGAAAGTTTTACTGCTCGAGCGGTAAAAGTTGCGCTTAAGCGGTCAGCCTATATGTTTTGCACCGTCTTTGCTCACATCGCTCAAGCGGTGAAATGTGCGCTCGAGCAGTCTTCGCGATTCAATTTACTATAAAGTGCACAGTTTTCTACTTCTAGGTTTTGAGTCGTCTAGATTTTGAGAGAGAAATAAGACACAAACTGTTTTATATTGGAGGGAGCTTTATGAGTGTTTCCTTAATGATTTAAGAGTGATCAATAGATCCGTGAACTTCATATCAACATCATCAAGAGTTTGTTTGTTTTCCTTTATTCACAAAAGAGAGAGTTGTTCTTCGATGGATTCTGAGGAATTGGAGCCTGAAGCCTTGGTAGATTTCGAAGTGACTTATCATCGCAGATTCGACACTAGCATTGTGGAATCAATGTTGGACAAGACAATTCCGAGGTGAAAACGATGTTGGAAGAGACACATTAGAATCAGTTCAATTCGGACGTAGATTCTTTAGGTAATTGAGAGTACACTTGTGTAATTCTTTTTTATCTTCTTAGTGAATTGTTTTGTGACTTTGACTCATAATTTTTTTATCACAACTAGAGGCACTCCAATTGTGATTTTTTCACATTAAATCGTTGTGTCGATTTGTCTTTGATTGTTTGATTGGGATTGTCATTCGTTATTTAAAATTGAAACATAATTACAAATCAATTTTTGAGTTTTTAAGATTTTTCAATATTCATCACTCTTAATCGGTCCATGAGATATCTGCAATAAAAAATCAAATTATTAAGTTAATCACATCCACTATTCTTTATTTATTTATTTATTTTGTCAAAATAATGACATGCAACTGATCCCATTTTATAGAACTTAAGATTTAATTTAATTTAGGTCTCGTTTAGGAACAGACTATTTTAATAATTTTTTGACTTTTTAACTAAAATATGAGGTTAAAAAAATTAGTATGTTTAGGGTGATATTTTAATTTTTTATGAAAAGATGTATAAAAAATAAAAAAAAAATAGAATCTTTGACTTTTTAATTTAAATTATTGATTTTTTAATTTTTTTAATAACTTTTTAACTTTTTAATTAAAATCACCGCTTATAAAACGAAGGCTAATTTGATTTAATTTGGATGACATCCATTTGGTTCTTCCATATGGGTTATATTCGATGACAATTTAAGACCACCCTTAAAAGCCTACGACAATCCCATCACAATACACAACTAGTTGTTCTATTTTTTATTTATTTATTTTTGGAAAAATTAAAGTAATGGTCCTTATAGTTTGGATCTTGTGTCATTTTGATCCTTAATTTTTTAATTGTGACATATTTGACCATAAATTTTAAATCTTGTTCTAAATAAGGATAATTGAAGATATCATTGCTCAATTTCAAGGGCAATATAATCAATTTAATAAAATATAAATTAATTTGATAAAAAGAAATGTCAAAAAAAATATTTTTAAATTTTTAAAAATTATTTCTACTCACTAAAAATAAAATTATGTAAAATTCATAAATTTTTTAGACATTTATTTTTTTTTACAAAATTAATTTTTATTATATGTTTAGATAATGATCATGTAATTGGTACTTATTTTTATTTTCATTAAATTAGTTTCTATTTTTACAAAAGTCAAATATGACGACAATTTTGATATCATTATTAAACCAATCTATTAAATCAAAAAATTCAAAACTAAAAACATTTCATATATTAAATATATTGATTACACATTAAAAGCTTAACACCACCCATTACATGATCATCATTTAAACACATAATAAAAATTAATTTGATAAAACAAATAAATAAATAAATAAATAAATAAATGTCTAAAAGATTTATCAATTTTATATAATTTTATTTTTGGTGTGTAGAAATTATTTTTAAAAATTTAAAAATATTTTTTGACATGTTTTTGTCAAATTAGTTTATATTTTATCAAATTGACGACTTTTCCCTTGAAATTGAGTAATGATATTTTTAATTGTCCTTATTTAGAACAAGATTCACAATTCAGGATCAAATGTGTTACAATTAAAAAATCAAGGATCAAAGTGACACAAGTCTCAAATTATAGAGACTGTTAGTGTAATTTGTTCTTTATTTTTTGTTTTTTTTTTTTTGCAAAAATCTGCTACCCAATGACCTAGATAGTTTTGGATAATGCCATTTGTACGTAGAAGGCCTACTCAAGTTTCCTTTGACAGCACTATTTGGATATGTTTGTTTGAGTGGACATGAGCTTGGGATTGGACTAATAGTCCAATAAAATTATTAATATGATATTTGGTTAAATAATTGAAGTACGGACTAACAATCCATCCGGATATGGTATCCCACATATGATGGACTATTCAATCCCACAGAGGGAGTGAGATATAAATTGGAAGATTAAGCTAAAGTCTAGACTAGTAGTCCCTCCTTATTATTTTAACTCAATCCAAACATAGGATTAGATACACAATCTAAAGAGATTTGTAGTCCTAGGACTATTAATCATGGGAATACTACTCCAGCCTAATCCAGTTCGTCCAAACAAATATGACCGTTGTGTTTTATACGAAGGATTAGCTCTTCTCTAGTCTTTTATTGGCCTGTAAGGTACTATTAGCTCATTTTGGATCTTAATTTGGGTCCATCTCAATAATCTAAATCGTTGAATATGTAAAATCTGTCGAATATATTATCTCTACAAAAAATTACAGCAATTGAATATCGATAACCACTTGATCAGATCACATTTTTGTCACAATTTATTTAAAAATAATACATGCCGTTGGCGAAAATGAGATTTAGTGAAATGTCTATCGATATCCGATTAATATGATTTTTTTATAGGGATGATGTACTCGACGAACTCTATAAATTAAATAGTTTGGATCATTAAGATGGGCCTGAATCAGGGCCCACAATGACCGAAAATGTTGTCTAGTCCAATAACAACCTGGAGAGGAGCCCATTCCTTAGATTAATTATACTTTGGTGCTAATATTGTCAATTATGAATGAAATTAGGAGAAAACTATAAGAAGTTATGGCTCCCTTCTTCGGTAAAAGATATTGTTTATCATAATACTTTAAAATATATATACATAAAATGACCCCAATATAAAAAAATATATCTCATTCTTCTTTCATCTTGCATTCTCTTTTTATTTTACATTTTAAAAAAAATCTTTATCCTATTAGAGATTACTTCCATGGTGTTTTATTTATTTATTTTTATGTGCATATACAGTATATTATATATACTTATGTGTTTTGTGTACATAGTGAAAAAAATTTAGAATAAACAATCAATAAATCCTACTAATTGGACTGAATTCTCATCAAGTCCTATTGAAAATAAATCCTAATAAAATGATCACCAAAAATAATTTTTTGTGATATTTTTTGCATGTCGCTAAAAATAAACAATTAATGACTTTTTTGTTACGATTTTTATAAATTGTTGCTAAACTTACAATTAATGACGCTTTTCTATGACGATTTTTTCAAATTGTAGCTAAAACTGTAGTTAAAACTTATAATTAGTGACATTTTTTGTAACAATTTTCAAACTGCCACTGAAAATTAACAATT